TCAATGGATATAAACTGGCTAGGAACAAATTCAGGCTGGAAATTTATTTCTAACCATCAAAGGGGTGAGGTTTTGGGACAGCCTCCCAATAGGAATTGTGGGAGCAAACAACTCAATTAATTATGAGAGAGAGCTGGATAAATTTCTGACTGGAGTTGAATGACAGGGTTGCTTGTGATGGTGGGGGGCAGGGCTCAGCCGCTCTGGGGCTCACTTCCGGTTTGTCTCATATTTTGAAAAGCTCATGCTTCATGGTTTCATCTGGCCACTTGCTGGGGTCTGGAAGGACCCCCCCCCCAATGTATTCTGTTTTGTTTTTTAAATCTCCTTCCTCTGAAGCATCAGGCATGGCCCTAGTCGAGATGGGACATTGGATAGGGAGGGTCCAGGCTCTGAGGTGCCACTGACCATTCTCTCTCTCAGGTGCTTGGCTTTCTGGTTCTTACTCATATGCTCAGGGTCTAACTGATCACCCAGCATATGTGGGGCCAGGAAGGAATTTCCCCCCAAGACAAATTGGCAATGAACCTGGGGGGGGAGGTGGTTTACGTTCTTCTGCAGCGTGTGGGTGCAGGTCACTTGCCAGGATTATCTGGCTATATCTCACTTAATCATTTCCTTGCCATTGCAGGGCCTTGGGCACTGGTGCACCTCGGTACCTCCTATTCTGTGCCCGTGGCACATAATAGTCTAGTTTCCCGAGGCAGGTTGTAATTCTTTGTTCTAATGTTGGTTGTTGGGTTTAGTGTGCGGGTGCCCAGTGACGTTGGTGGCCTGTGATATACAGGAGGTCTGACGAGATGATCTGGTGGTCTCTTCTGGCCTTAAATTCATCTATGACTCTAATTATTGGTATTTTATATAAATGATGACAAAAATTCATTATGTAACTGTAGGCATGGAGATTGGTGTACTAATGGAATAATTGCATGAATTGAAATAGACAAACACAGGACAAGTCACATAGTTCATATTCAGCCCCTTCTTAACCAAAACTCTCAGGGAAAGCAGTGGGAGTTTTACCTGAAAAAGGGCCTAAGTAAAAGTTATGGACTTCAGGATATGGTCCACAATGAATAGAATAAAGAATCCAGCACCATTAGTATGATGATTTTGCATTCGTACTATCATAATCAATGCTCATTTTAGCGAAAAGACATTTGTCAATTGGGAATACCAGTCCTTTATCAGAGGTGGATCAGTATATTCTTTCTGGCTTGTGCATCATCTTCAGTAATAAAAGATTCTGCCGGCCAAATTCTGCCTTCAGTTACATCTGTATAGTCTTATTGTCCTCAGTTATGGACTGGATTGCACAGGAGTAGGGTTGTACAGGTGTAAGTAAAGACATAATTTGAACACATCATTGAACAGGGGGCCTTATCAATGGAGTTAGCATAAGAATGGCCATACTGGGTCAGACCAGTGGTTTGTCTAGCCCAGGATTCTGTCTTCTGACAGTGGCCAATGCCAGGTGTTTCACAGGGAATGAACAGACCAGGGCAATTATTAATCCATCCCCTCTTGTCCAGTCCCAACATTTGCCAGTCAGAGGTTTTGGGACATCCAGAGCATGGGGTTGCATTCCTGACCATCTTGGCTCATAGCTGTTAGTGGACCTATCCTCCATAAGCTTATCTAGTTCTTTTTTGAACCCAGTTATAGTTTTGGCCTTCACAACATCCCCTGGCAATGAGTTCCACAGGTTGACTGTGCGTTGTGTGAAAAAGTACTTCCTTTTGTTTGTTTTAAACCTGCTGCCTCTTAATTTCATCGGGTGACCCCTGGTTCTTGTGTTATCTGAATAGGTAAGTAACACGTCCTTATTCACTTTCGCCACGCCATTTGTAATTTTATAGACCTCTAGCCTACCTCTCCTTAGTCATCTCTTTTCCAAGCTGAACAGTCCCAATCTTTTTAATCTCTCCTCAGACGGAAGCGGTTTCATACCCTAAATCATTTTTGTTGCCCTTCTCTCTACTTTCTTCATTTCTAATATATCTTCTTTGAGATGGGGCAACCAGAGCTGCACACAGTATTGAAGGTGGGTATATTCTGGATTTATATAGTAGTATTATGATATTTACTGTTTTATTATCTGTCCCGTTCCTAATGGTTCCTAAATTCTCTTATGTAGTTGTTTTGACTGCCACTGCACATTGAGCAGATTCTTTCAGAGAACTATCCACGATAACTCCAAGATCACTTTCTGGAGTGGTAACAGCTGATTTATACCCTCTCATTTTGTATGTATTTTTTCCAATGTGCATTTCTTTGCATTTATCAACATTGAATTTCATCTCCCATTTTGTTGTCCAATCACCCTGTTTTGCACAATCCCTTTGTAGCTCTTTGCAGTCTGCTTTGGACTTAACTATCTTGAGTAATTTTGTATCATCTGCAAATTTTGCCACCTCACTGTTTACCCCCTTTTCCAGATCATTTATGAATATGTTGAACAGCACTGGTCCCAGTACAGATCCTGGGGGAACACTGTTATTTACCACTCTCCATTCTGAAAACTGACCATCCATTCCTACCCTTTGTTTTGTAGCCTGATCCTTTTTAATGGTTAATAATTGTATTGGTTGCCGATAGATACTAATATAATGAGCTGGGGGTAATAAGGTTCTCATCCCAGAATTAAAACGAACAAACTCAATATCTTGTAGGGAACCCTGGGGTGTATGGCAAAGATATTCACATCGAGGGCAAAGCCAAGCCTCAGCCATTTTTATTTAAATAATAAGTAAAGACAATAAAGCTGTGAACCACATAAACAAATACCCCTAATACTGTATTACTGCTGTCTTTGGTGTCATTCCCTGCAGATGCTCATCTATTTATATACTCCTACCCTTCCTTGGAGACCTGGTGGTGACAAAGGACCAGCCCTGCCCCTGGCATGCCAAATGAATCCAATGGTCCAGAACCCCAGTGACCAAAGGTCGGTGGTAGATAACAACGAAGAGCTGAAGGGTCAATGATAGAAAGCTAGCTTCTGCTACATGGTGGCTCAGGGCCTGGGTACAATCATGAATATTTGTTCAGATGCCCACCCTTCCATGTCCAGTTCTAACTTCCTTGCCCTCATAATATTGAGGTATGCTTATCCTATAGGTTAACATATTAATGCAGGGGTGGGCAAACTTTTTGGGCCCAGGGCCACATTGGGGAATAGAAATTGTATGGAGGGCCATGAATGCTCACAAAATTGGGGCTGGGGTGTGGGAGGGGGTGCAGGTGCTGGGGTGGGGCTGAGGAGTTTGGGGTGTAGGAGGGTGCTCTGGGCTGAGACTGAGGGGTTTGGAGGGCAAGAGGGGGATCAGGGCTGGGGCAGGGGTGCGGAAAGAGGTTCGGGTTCTGGCTGGGGGTGTGGGTTCTGGGATGGGACTAGGGATGAGAGGTTTGGGGTGCAGGAGAGTGCTCCGGGCTGGGATCGAGGGGTTTAGAGAGTGGGAGGGGGATCAGAGCTGGGCAGGGGGTTGGGAAGAGGCCCAGGGGTGTGGCCCTTGACCCAGCACCCCCTGGAGCAGGGCCGAGCTGTGTGGTGTGGCCCTGACCCTGTGCCCTAGCCGGAGTGGGGCCAAGCCGCGTGGTGCGGCCCCAGACCCAGCGCCCTGGTCAGAGCAGGGCCGCACCACGTGGCTCGGCCCCCGACCCAGTGCCCCAGCCAGAGCAGGGCTGCACTACGTGGCTCGGCCCCCGACCCAGTGCCCCAGCCAGACCAGGGCCGAGCTGTGGTGTGGCCCTGACCCTGCACCTTGGCCGGATCGGGGCTGCACCATGCGGCTTGGTCCCCGACCCAGCGCCCCGGCCAGAGCGGGGCCAAGCTGCTTGGTGCGGCTCAGGGGCCGGCTTAAAACAGCTCGTGGGCTGTAGTTTGCCCACCCCTGTATTAAAGCCTTTTAGCTCTATCACAGCGGTTCTCAAACTTTAGCAACATGACAACCCCCACCTTGATTTAATTTTTTTCATGGACCCCAAGTCCCCCTGCTCAGCCCCAGGCCCTGCCTCCACTCCACCCATTCCTGCAAGGCCCCACCCCACCTCTTCCCGCCCCTGCTCCACCTCTGCCCCTCTTCTTCCCTGCCTCTTTCCACCCCCTCCCCCAAGTGCCCCCTGTCCCTGCTCCCCTCGCTTCCTCCTAGTGCCTCATGCATGCTGAGGAACAGCTGTTCCCCAGCGAGCAAGAGGCGCTGGGAAGGAGAGGTAGGAGTTGAGGGAGGGAGGGGGAGATTATCAGCGGGGCTGGCTGACCCCCTGGGGTACCCTTGCAGACCACCAGGGGTCCGTGGACCACAGTTTGAGAAACGCTGCTCTATCATATACATCACCTATTGCTAAAGCACGTATGTGGTTAAACATCTGCCTGCAATTCTATCCTGAAATAGCCAAACCCAGTACCAGTTCAGTGTTCTTGCAGTTGCTTGGTATTGTTCTGGACCAACTCTTTCTCTTGACCAAGCTATTCCCAGTTTCCCAAAGTCTAGGGTAACTGTCAGGCCATTTTATCTATGCTAAAGGTCATAGGCCTACTTTACTTATGCTAACTTGCTTAAGCCAATGTTTTACAGGATACAGGCCTGTATTCCTTGCATTACATAAAAGGCTAAGCTAGCTCTATGAGCTATAGTTTACTGTCTTTTAACCAGTTACTGATCCATGAGAGGACCTTCCCTCTCATTCCAAGACTGGCTGGCAATGGTTGCCAAGGGACAATAGTTATAGCTGGAGCACAGTGCACATGGCCATGGGACCTCCTTGTCCCCTATGCCAGAGTCAGATTGGAACAGGAGCTGGGTATGTCAGCTCTACATCAGCTAAAAGCTTCCCTATGCTGAGGAAATTCTCATCTGCTAAGAGCTGGTGGCTTTCCAGTGGCACAAAGGGGCCAGAATGAAACACAGAATCTGACTCAGTTTATCTTCATTCTTAAATCTATCCACAAGATTAGATGGAGCACATACGTAGCATTACTAAATATTCCAGAGCAATAGTTAGACATTTTCAAAAACTTTTATTGATTTTAAAAAGGCATTTACTACACCTCAAAAATACAATGTGGTAGCCGATCATTTTAAAAAAATGTAAAAAAATATATAAAACGTAATAAGGTAATTAAAATAAAAACAAACACACACAAAGACATCCACTTCCATTACCAGTTAGGAATGATCTGTTGAATTATTTTAGCAGCTTGAACTCTGCTCCTAAAATATTGTGTGTTTCCTGGTTTACATACTTTCTGGCACATACACAGTTCCTGGTTATGTCATTACAAAAAGGAATATTTCCATGCAGCATCATACATTGCATTAGAAGTTCACACTTTAACTTCTGATAAAGATTTTGTATCTATGGTACAAGTCTAAATATGTTCTGTAGTATTTCTTAATACCTTATACTATTTTAAACTGCTTTAATTATCAAGTGAAATCCTGGCCCCAAAGAAACATATGACAAAAGTCCCATTGACAAAGGCCATATGTACATTACAAATTTAAATCAACCTAACTTACTTCGGCATACAGCTGTTGCAATAATTACACTGCTTGTGCATGTCCACACTTTGCTCCTTGTGTCGGTAGTGCGCATCCTCACCAGGAACATTTTTATGGATTGTACTGTCAGTGTGGGGCATTTTAGAATGGCTCCTGAAACCCAGTAATAGTCAACATACGCAATGCAGTATCTACACGGACTCTGTGTTAACCTAACTACATCAATCTTGACTCTATGCCACTCGTGGAGGTGGAGTTATGAAGTCGGCATAGCAGTGCAGTTAATGTCGGTGGGAGAGAAATGTAAGTCTAGACACTTCCATAGCTAGGTCAATGTCAGCTGCCTTGTGTCAACATAACTCTGTTGTGTAGACCAGACCTTAAATGGGACCAAGATTTCACCGTCAGTGTTTTGCAATGAAATATGCTTTGTGGAAAAATAATAATGTCTTATTTTATACTGAAGACTTTTAAAAGAGAGTGCTCTTTCTGGGTCTGAACCCACCAAATGTGCTATGACCATCTACTAGCTGTCTGGTCTCGGTTTCACTATAGATTGCGGTAAATGCTGAATCTGTTTAAATGTTATCAATATAGGAGATACAGTTCAGAAACAATGGCAGTTTTCATTCTTTTCCCATGGTTTTCACTTAATCAGCTTTCTCTGCATAAACAGCTTCTGTGTAGGATTAATTCATTTACAGGAATGCAGCATTACTCTATTGTTTGCAATGGTTAAAACATATTTAAAAGTAACCACCAATATAGAGCAGACCTTCCAGAGACTGCTTGTGGAGATTACTTTGTGGTGAAACCACCCATATGGTAACATCATTATTTCTGTTTCTCACGGTGAATTTTTGGTAAAGGTTTACTACTTATTAAACACTTAAAGTGGACTTGTCTGTGGACCACAATGTGTGAGAATTCACAAAGTTTAATAACTGCAATATACTGTTGCTACATATATTTACCTTCAGATCTGTACTTCGCTTTTGTGTGTGAAATAAAGCTAGTATTGTACACTAAAAGCTTGTCTGAACAACGGGTTTAGTTTGTTCCAGCTGATGCATATCAGTTGGTGCACAATATAGAAGTTGCTCTAACAGCATGTATACGGGACAGCTGTGCCCTCTTTCAATTCGCATCATTTCGTACACATGGTGGAGGCTTTGAGCGTACTAAGCATGTGGCATTTTGGGTGAGTATCCAATGGTCCTTTGCTTTGCTGTTGAACTGTGTGCATTCTGGGATTTGTCTTGTTGCACACTGTGAAATGCATTGCAGAAACCAGAGGAATTCTGGGACTTAAGGTAAAATTCAGAATTCCATGTTTTGCTCCATCTACCCTGATTCGATTCCTCTCTATCTGGGAAGGCTAGCATCGTTTTCGAACTGCTGTTGGCCAGCATGGAGGCAACAATGCTCCACACCACGATTCTGGCAACTATGATTATACTCAGAGGCTGTCTGGACTTTATTTGAGTTCTCAGTGCTGGGTGGCTTTGGCCTCCAATCACCTACCAGCAACAGTAGCAGAGGAATGAGCAGGACATCGAGCAACTACTATTCTACTCTTCCTGGAGCAGTTTCCACTTGGTGCTGTGCCATTTCTGCGCTCAGGAAAGCAGCATTGATTGGTGGGAGAGGATTGTTCTGCAGATCCGGGATGACCAGCCGTGGCAACAGAATTTCAGGACAGTGAAGGCAATCTTTTCCGAGATCTGTGCTGAACTAGCTGCAGTGGCACCATATCAACATGTAAAGTCCCATAACCCACTGAGAAGCTGGCCACCCCAACTGTTACTGGTCCATAGCCAACCAATTTGATGTGGGGCAATCGACTGTTGGAGGCATTGTCACGCAGGTGTGTGCTGCCACGCAGAAGGTACTGTTGCACCAGGTTATAAATCTTGGTAATGCTCAGGAGATTATTGATGGCTCCTGATTGTATTGGGCAACTGATGGTGCCCACATACCTATCATTTGACCCCACAAAGCAGTGTCGGACAGATGTTGGAGGAGTGCTAAAGTACCATGTAGCAACATTGTGCAGATATGAGTGATAGTCTGCACTAACTCAATTTTCACTGAACTTAGTACACTTTGAAGGAGGACTCCAGAATTTGCACCAAGGGTTAGGGTTTGCCTCATGTGTACACAGGTATTTTCAATCTGCACTAACTCGAGTTAGACTGGACTAAACCCCTAGTGTAGAGAAGCCCTAAGCTACCAAAACACTGTTAATTAATATATGAGTCCTGCATGCTTTTATAATGTACAGGCATATATTTAGAATTTAAAATATGCAGAGTTCATCAGAAGCTGAATTGTACGTTCAAACCAGAAAGAGAAACTCTGAAACATGACCAGTTGTTTATTCGTGTTTTATAAAGTGGTTCTAGCTTTCGCCAATTCATCTCCTTATGTATTCAGAATCTGATGCATCACTTTCATCTGAGATAGTAGGTTTTTGCAATTCATGTGAGATGTTATGACAATCTGGCTTCTTAACATCTACTGTGTTAGTAAAAAATTTTGATTCAAGTGCATCAGAAGCACTAGAATCTTGAAAGTCAACTGCATCCTTTTGCTGGGAGATTAATGTTGCAGAATCATCCCAGGTCTTGTCAGGGTCTCTCAGCATCACAGTATTTAAGTTTATGTTAAAGCAAGCACTGTTACTTAACCCAGAAGTTGACGAACTGTTTACTTCAGATGAAGGATGAAAGAACACTCTACTTGTGCTTTCATTTTCGCTAATGACAGATTGATGCTCTTCAGAATTGTCTGCCTCAGAACCCAGAAGTTCAATTGCTTCACTGCTTCTCTCTGCAGATGGATAGTCTATAGTCTGGTGCACGAAGGTGTTTGATTTGGCATGGGAACTTGGAACGCTGCCCAAGATGTCATGTCTAGTATATTCACCAGAATTTTCACTATCACTTTCGCTATCATCATCATAACTGTATTCCCACTCTTTTTTTTTCATCTCTTTATACATGACTTGCACAGAGCACATTTTTTCAGGATCAGGTTCATGCACTGAGCAATGTAAGTTATTTGTGGTTTCCTAAAAAGACAAAACAAAAACAAAACAAAAAAATCACACACACAAAAATTACACACAAATAAGAGAATAAGAAAGTAATCTTGTTATTTACTTTAACAACTGCCTCACCACTTTGCACTTATACTAGTACACAGGCAAAAGTGTTCAGAAGTCAACGGATCACCCCAATATACATGTTTTGGCATTATCTTCAAAGGTCTGAGAACCCAGAAGTCTTCCCTCTCCTGCACTCAAAAAAGAATGGCATCGTGCTCCAAAATGCAAACACAGAGAACTAGATAGGCTCATGCAATTGCATATTGGTTCCAAATAAGATCAGAAATGACCCTATGCTTTTTGCCCAAGAAAACCCCAGATGGAGGACACTGTGTTTTCAAGATGTCTTTTTTGTGGGATTGTCTCTGTTGAAGACTATCAAATATATTTTGTGGCAAGGTTTTGAAAAACAAGGAAAAGGAGAGGGGAAAAAAAAAAGTTTCCAGCTCTCTTTGCGGAGAACATAGGTTCAGAGGGTAGTCCTAAAACTCTTCAGTACACTGCTTAACTTCATGCATCTGGTGAAGTGAGCTGTAGCTCACGAAAGCTTATGCTCAAATAAATTTGTTAGTCTCTAAGGTGCCACAGTACTCCTTTTCTTTTTGCTTAACTAACGTTTTCTATTTCCTTCCTGGAAGCTAAGGATCAATTTTTAAAGCCCTTTTAATATTTGCCACCTGTACAAAATCCTATATGTATGTATAATATCCCAGCTGTATGAATTCCCTAAAAGACATTCTCTCACATAATAAGCCTGAGAAAGATTGTTTTAGTCAAAATATGTGAGGCAATGTACAATGTATTTCACCAATTAAATTTCCTTTTTTCTACTAGTTTCACCATTAATCCTCAATCATGGATTTTGTCTTCATCTGTACAGTGACTGGAGACAGTTACTTTAAAGTCTATGCAGGGGATGTTGGCCCTGCCTACCAGGCCAACCACTAGAAGAGTTCTTCTAAACCTGTAAGTGTTTTCCAGCTTTGACACTTGGTAGTTAATGATAGATTTGGTCATACACTTGTAGTTGGCTATGAGAAATACAGCCATTTGAGAGTACTCACATGCTAATTTCCTTCTAGTAAAATTACCATTCCATTCTCTAGCATAAGCTCTCCCCTAATCCTCACTGATATAAGAATACACTAATAAATTACGAAAGAGAGACTGAGGGGGTAAGAGAGAAATCCTGAATCCTGTGGCATATCTATTTTGGAACCACTATTTAGAGCACACTCATGACAAAGGAGGCATCTTGGGATGATTGCAGATCCAGTTTATAACATCTGGTATACAAGGAAACTGAAGGCCAGACTTTTTCTGTGTATATCTATTTCAGCAAAGATGTTCTTTGCTTGGGAGACTGCTGTTGACATTGTAGAGCAAGTTCAGGTTTCCTCAGGAATGACATACCCTGAAGACTTGTATGCTTCCTCAAAGCAACATCTTATCCACCTGGCCAAAGAAGCCCTTCATGACTTATCTCCTTCACACCCTGGGTGTAATGACATAAGTAAGATACTGGGCTCTTATTCAGTGTGTGATAGATCAATTGTAAGAGCTCTTTTCCACATTTCATCCAGAGTTTTGTTTTTTCTTAAGAAGGTGCTGAATTTTTAGTGCCTCTTGGTCCCCTGTCCTCTTGTGGACAATAAAAAAAAATATGAAGAACAGCTCTGGGAATTTTTCTGGTGTTGGCCCTCCAGAATGACAAGGGAAGAGATTTCCTGCATAATTAGCATGTGTCTTTCCTGACTTCTGAACTTTGGGGACTGGGACATCATAGGTTGATATGAAATTCTAGGGCATATCCATACTGTACTAGAGAGGCACCATTCTCTAATGGGTAGGGCATCGGACTGGGACTTAGAAAAGCTGTGTTCTATTTTTTTTACTTCCCCTCTCTGTGTCTGTTTTTCCTCCACATCTTTGTGTACATTGCCTATTTAGAGTGTAAGATCTTCAGGGTGTCCATAGCTTTAAATTGTGACATCATGCCACAAAGGCTCTAGCCAAACCAGCAGAAAATAGAGCCACTTTCAGGATGGGCTTTTTCCTTGTGAGCTTTTTGTCAAAAAACAAAACATTTTAATTTGGAATTGCTACTGTAGTGGCTGATGAGAAATTGTTTGGGTATTTCACATCCCCATTCTCCTCTACAGGCTGGCTCTCTGGTTAGACTACATCCCCCTGGGGGGGTTACATCATGGGAGTCCGTGGCCATGGTGAGATCTAGTGAGATCATCAAGGGAGATATCATCTGGGCTGAAAGCCCAGCTCAACCCAGAGAGAATGGGGACATGAGGAAACCAAACTACAACTTGCATGAGGTACCATGGAAAGATATCTATATACAAATATTTCAGTTTTTGAGTTTGGGATATTGATTTTTTGTTGAAAAAAAATACAGTTATTAGTGAAAAGCAGACAGACAATTTTGCTAAAAAATTTGTTTAGTTGAAATCTCAATTTTTCTATCCAAAAAACAGTTTTGATGGAAAGTTTTCAACCATCGCTATTCATAACTTCAATAGTTATGCTATGGAAACCATAATTTTATAATACACAAAAACATATACGTCATGCTTATGTTCTCAAACCTGTATGGTCATTTTCATATTTGAGATATTCCAAAACTCTGTGTAAATCAACAATTTATTGGAGAAGCCTTGACTCTGCAGGTAAACTTGGCAGTAATTATATATTCAGCACTAGCTTACCAGCAGCTTTGGACATTAAACCAATGTTGGCTAGGGTGCCAGGAATATCTAGTAATCATAGCGTAAAGTTACAAGTGATCTTTTGCCCTACAACAGGACAAAAACCTCAGAAATGAGCAGAAGACCTTGATTTTAACTTTTAATCCATACCTTTATCAATCAACTATGTTAGTCCGTTTCAAATCACCTGTGTTGTAGCAGAACTAGCAAAAAACTGTTTTGATAAAAATACAGCATTTAAGCAATTTAAGCTACAACATTTAGTAACCTACAGATAAGTATTTTTGTCGCCCCCCCCCCGTCCTCCAAGCTAAGCTTCGAATTGAATAATGAACATTCTTCCCACATTAGCAATATGTCCTAAACTTCCCAGGCTAAGAATGGCAGGTGACACATCATTTTAGTTAAATTCTCACTTTCTGCCATTCAGTTTCCACAAATGTCCAGGCTTCTTGTGGTGCTCTGGCATTCACCATGCTGATGACACCACAACACCTTCTGAAAACTTTCTAGAGCAGTGGTTCTCAAACTTTTGTACTGGTGCCCCTTTCACATAGCAAGCCTCTGAGTGTGACCCCCCTCATAAATTAAAAACACTTTTTATATATTTAACACCATTATAAATGCTGGAGGCAAAGTGGGGTTTAGGGTGGAGGCTGACAGCTCGTAACGCCCCATGTAATAACCTTGTGACCCCCAGAGGGGTCCTGAACCCGAGTTTGAGAACTCCTGTTCTAGAGAACAGAACTTCCCCTAAGGTGGCCAGAGGGCTAAGATGCCTATTTGTGTTTTTTTTTAAATAAAAATCCCTTAAGATGGAAAATATTTAAGAAAACACAAAAATAAAAAATACTTTATTTCCCCAGATATATCCTCCCTTTCTGTAGCTGCTCCTTTGGTCCAGTGAAGTTCCATGACATTTATCACATTTTATTCTACATAGGATCCCCAGTATGATGCTCAGAGAACTGACATTTAATTGGGAGCCAATTTCAGAAATCATAGGAGTAGAAAAGGAAAAATAAAAATGTACAAAAATGAACGTTCAGGTCATTTACAGACCAACCCCCGCCGCCTTGCAGGCATCTAGCAGTCTACATCTAAAGTGGATGGAATTTCTAGTTGCTTTGCAATTCACTTTTAAGGGAACTCTTCAATGCAAAATATTTGTTTCTTAACTTTTATCTAATGAACAATATATCTTGCTACTTGCTGTATAAACATTATGAGGCCTTCCCTCTCCCCCACCAGGTAAATTAAATACAAAAAAAGATGTACCAAGACTTTTGGCCACGGTTTACTTTTCAAGCAAATGAAACCTCCTTTATACAGTCCTAGCAGGAAGATGCCTATTACCAATGAAACAAGTCCACCACTTAGGATTGGAATTATACCATAACCTGCAAATGGAAAAAAAACATACTGAGTAAAACCCAATAGATGTAGGAGAGATTTCCAATTTTTCTTATATTACACACTTATTTAAGATTGAAAAGAACAACTCTGGATCACTGAAAACAATTAAAGAGCTATTTGTACAGCCAGCAGGATTAGCCAAAGCTATCCGGTACCTCATATGTCATTTATAGGTCCAACCAAATGTCTGTCAAAAGATGCTTTCTCTCTTACTGGGATATTTACCAGTTACCCTTTTCTGAAAATACTATTAAAACAACCAGACTGACAACCTGACCCCCTCCCCCACCAAACTTTAAAATATTTGATACCTGGTTGAGTGTTGGACGGGGTGATTATACATTTCAAGGCCGAAGGGATGGAATGATGGTTTATTGATGCAGCCACAGCAACAGACACACAATAATTTGTATATGAATGCAAGCTTCCAACAACATAGCTAAAGCTTTCTTCAGAGGTTTCATTCTTAATAGGAATCTGCCATGAAAACAATATCTTATTGAAACCTGTTTGTCTAAAAGGAGTTGTTAAACACGGATTAAAAAAAACCTTGCATTTAATAGCTATTTTAATATCCCCATTGTGAAGCTGTACAGTGGCAAGTACAACTGAGTTGTATAGTTGGTGGTGGGGGTAGAATGGGGAGGAAGCATAGCACTTTTCCAGTTTTCGAGAGAAGGAAAGTAGTTACTAGAGCTCAAGGACTGACCCTACACTTCTGTCCACTGGATTCAATTTATTAAAAGGCTCAATTTTACAAGTTCTACATTAGCAAGAAGTTGGTGCACCATAAAATGGCACTTTTGCTGTTCAGTAGAAAAGTTAGCAGTCTTGTATCTACATTCCTTTTCTCTTTCTTCAAATGTATCTGTCTTCAGAGTGGTTTATTAAAGACTTTTAGAAAAACCCCCTTTGATGGTTTTGATTATAATTGTTCATTACATCTGATCTCACAAGCGTAGCTGAATTGGGCTGGGTCAGTTCTTAGATAGGGGACCTAGATGCTGCAGAAAACAGTGTAATTGAATCACTCATATTTTGGTGATCAGACACCATTGTGACAGGCACTGTGTAAATACTTCCTGTGGGCAGTCTTGCACTTCTCTAGGAGTCAGTAATGAACCCAGCCCACATTTTCATCTGGTGACAATTCTTATTCAATGTCTGTCCCAATCTGTTGTCATGTAATATTGAACAACCATGTGACCAAATGCCCCCTATATTCACACCCTACACGCTGTTGTAATAATCTTTGTACAAAATATGCCTTATGAGATATCATTTGAAAACTAATAACTGGCTTGTCAATAATATCAAGGTGAAATGTGAATAACAACATTATATGTAAAGTTATAAAAATAAGTAGAAATTAGATCTGAAATGTGTTTACCAGAAAAGTCTGGGTAAACCAGTTTCTGAAAGACAAAGGACAAGCTAACGCCTCTAGCCAGGAGGCAAAGTTCATGGGCAATCACCTACCAAGTGGCCATTCTTTGGCAAGGAAGGGAGGCATGAACTAACAAATCTGCATCTTAGCAAACAGCATGGACCCTCTTCACCACCAGGCTCCTTGCCTCTGTCCTCAAAGTGAGGATGAACGTTATCTAGGGCTAACCTTCAGGAAAATGCATTTCAGAAGGCGATTGAACTATAAAAGTTAGGAACAAAAACACTAAGTTCTCTCTCCCTATCCATCTCTCTCTTTCGCCTAAGCGGACAAAAGAAACAACCTTTGGACTCTGGGAGAAGATCCTGGTCTGAGAATTTGGTCAGCAGTGTTACTGGAAACATGCGATAAGGGACTTCACCAAATCAAGTTTCTTAAGTTTTAGTACTAGGAAGCATTTTATCTTTATTTCTCTTGTAACCATTTGTGACTTTAATGCCTTATACTTGTACTCACTTAAACCTCATTTCCTTGTAGTTAAATAAACTTGTTTTATTCTTTAATCAAAAATAATCCATTGTTGTGAACTGTGTGTGTAGCTCCATTTAGGGTAGCAGACTGCTGTATACTTATCCCCTTAGAGGGGCAATGGGCCTAATATATCTGGACTGTCCAGGAGAGGGCCAGATAGTACAGAACAAAGGTTTTGTGGGAAAATCCAGGACTGGGAGTGTGTTGGAGTCACCCTGCAAGTGGTTACCAAGGCTGGTGGAAGCGAGTGTGAGACTGATGTGTGACTGGCAGGCTACAGCTAGACACAGATACTCAGAGTGTTACCCACATGCTGCAAGGCTGTTTCTGAGGAGCCCAAGTGGAAGATACAGCAGCAAAGCATTGTGAGGCACCCAGGATTGCAGGGCTAGGGTGACACTGCCCCACACTGGTCTGGATTACACCCTAGAAGGTCATAAATTGTCAAGATTCATATTAGAGACAACTTCATTTTAATAGAGGCGGGAGAAGTGATCTCCTTATACAGTTCATTCTGGGATCCTTCAGCATGAAAGTGACAATGTAAATGTGTTATTTACTTTTCAAGTGAGTTGAAGGAAAGGTCCACTATAATTTAAAATTGGGATAAGGGAGCTCGTAGAGGGGAAAAAGGCACTTTTGATATACTCTAGCACGGAGTTTATTTTTCTGATCAATACTATGTGATACCATAAGAACTGACATACTGGAACAAACCAGTGGTCAACCTAATCAGCTTTTTTGTCTCTAGAAGTAGCCAATGTCAGGCGCTTCGAAGGAATGAAGAGAATCTCCTACACTGCACCTACTGGGGAATACTGTATCACCGGGGGGTGGAATGAAGGGCAGAAGGATTTTCTCTGGTACCCAAATCATCAGCTCATGCCTCAAGAAGGCTCACATTTATCCTGTGTTGTGTAAACCACTGACAATAGTCTTATTCATATAAAGATCTAGGATAAGATACGACAGAGCTCATCTTCAGCAAGCTTCCTTACTGCTCAAGCCAATTTATTTTTTACGCTTTGTACATTTTTCTTTAAATCTTAAAACTACAAGATACTTACCTTTTCCTTTCTATCAAATGATTCCACTATTGTCATATAATCAAGTTCTTGATATACATCAATTAAAGATTTTTCTTTTAAATACGCGGCTGGAAGTTTTACTATCACATTTATGCAGGTTGTACAAGCAGTAAGATTAACTTCTGGTGGACCCAAGTATGCTGTTTAAAGAAAAAGAAAACAAACCCCAAAATATAACTACATTTATACATTTAACATCAGTTAGACAATCGGTAAAAATCAAGTCAATTCCCACGTGTCAGATGATTGACTAATTAGTTGCCCAACAGGGTTTGAAATTATCAAAGATTCAGGGGAAAATTGTTCCTCCAATTTTTTTAGCAGAGGGAATAAAAATAGAGAAAAACCTAAAACAATCCAAAAACTACCATGGGAGAAAAGGTGATTGGGGAGGGGGGTGGGGAGAGAGGGGAGTTGAGCCAAAACAGCAGCATCCCTTGTTTCTCCAGCCCCACAGAAGCCCTTCTGTGTAAATTCTGTGCAATTGAGGTTCTTTTTGTTTGGCTTGGAGGCGATAGGGAAGGGGTGAACATTGTTTTCTGAGGCAGCATCTTCTAGTAAAACACTTGAAATACCCATACGAATTAATCCCTGTGGGTGGCCCCTCCACACACAAATACCCCTTGGAACGTAGACAAAGGGACTAACTGTTGGCCGGGAACCACTGGCCGCAGAGCTCCAAAGGGAGATGCTCTCTCACAGGTGACTGTCAGGCAGGACCTGAGGAATATCATCCTGAGCCTGGCTTCTGTGTGGATGCTTTTGCCCTCAAAACAATGCCTGGAGATCCTGTTTCTCAGAATGCCCAGGAGTTTGGAGAGCCATAAGCCCTGACAATTCCCTGGCTTTCAAAACTATACAGACATTTTCTCCACTGCACAGCATAGCAGAATCTCCAAAGCCTGAAGGTCAAAAGTTTTGCACTTCACTGATCCTTCTGCAAGTGCTGTGTTTTGATCTAATTAGTTATTGTCTACACAGTGCTTTGAAAAATCTAAAACATGCTATGTAAGTGCTAACTACTTGTCTAGTTCATTATTATAATCATATAGGTAAAATAATTAAACATTTTAAAGAGGTGGAGTTCTGACCTTGCTCCAAACAGGAGAATGCACACACTTAATACCGGCCAAATCTTACTCCACACCCTTTCCTGTGGTTTTCCTGTTGTTTAATTTATACAAAAACAACAATAAACCTCAGCCTAAGCTTTCACCTGAACGTGGTTGTTCCCATGGTTTTGGACTACAAGAGTCATCTGTCTCTGCCTCAGATCCTTCTGCCAAGGAGGGAGAGGCTCCAACCCTTCCTATTTTATGGGTAGAAGTAAATCAGATGCTTTAGGGTAATGAATCAGAATAGCCCTGCATTTCTACTCAGGGTCATCTTGGTTTAAATATGCACCAGGAAAAGAAAAAGAAAAGTTGCCCTTGTTAAAACATTTACCATTTGAGCCTGGCTTTTCAGTCAACTGATAATACTTTTCTGCAACTTTACAAAACAGCAAACATAGAGGTGGCATGGGAAAGATGCTAGTGCACCCTCATCCATGCAAATGTATCCATAAATGTGAAACAGCTGGAGAACACTGTTACAGAGTAATATTTTTATTTTTCTGATACATATCTATGAAAAATAGGTGTTTGGAACAATGAAGTCTGAATACAAGGTACAATTTACCATTTCCAATTTTTTAGAAGAATCTTATTGTAAGGCACTATGTTGATGAGTCAGTTGAGGAAAAGTGTTACATTATTTTCAAGTTTAGGGTTCTCTGCTTCCCCAGATAAATGGGCATTGATGTTTGGACAGAAGAGGACAGGAACAAGGGTGTACATGGGGGAAGCTATGTAAGTCAACTCAAGTTGCAATAAGGGCTACACTATTCCCGGAAGGCCTGCAAATTTGAGATGCAAAATAGCTCAACCACTATATTTAAAATTAATGGAGAAATGTCCATTCATGAAAATGTTACCCTGGCTTGTTAGCATTACAATTAAAGTATTTCAAAGTCTTTGAGCTGAGTGGATACTATTTCTGTAACCTTGTACCTAACATTAGATAGTCTCCGTATTCAGTTTATCCACTTGATCCCCAATATAAATGGTCCTTATTTCAGGAGAGGAAAAAAAGAAATTAATGTAGCGATATTGTAAATAGGACTCCAGGGAGAAGCAGCCTCTAGCAGTATTAGACCATCATTGCTAATGAGCATCTGGTGTTTATGTGACATACCAAAGGGGATGGGGAGAAATCAAGGTGACAGCTAAAATGGAAGCAGATATTCCTCCACCCCTCACCTTTTGTTTTTGCCTGTTCAACAGTTAACCAATTAACTGACATAAAAAAATAGATTATGCAATTTATAAATGTAGTAATTTTTTTTTGAAATTTCTACTCTCAAATCTCCAAAATGATGCTACCACCTTTATAAAAGTCTGAAATAAATACACATAAAAGAAATTGATTCTTATATATGCACAATGGAAGGAAATCTATCCCAACATTTGCTTTTTCCTTCAAAACCATTGCTTGTTTCTATTCATAAGAACTATTCAAGCCATGTATTTTGTATAGATAGCTTTCCACTACACTAGATGATATGTTAGTTCACAACATCTTACATAAATTAGTATATCACCAACTAAATTACTTTGGAGTTACTTATAGCAGTGGTTCTCAAAGCTGGTCCGCCGCTTGTTCAGGGAAAGCCTCTAGCAGGCCAGGCCAGTTTGTTTACCTGCCGCGTCCACAGGTTTGGCCGATCGCGAATGGGGGCTGCGGGAAGGGCAGCCAGCACATCCCTTGGCCTGCGCTGCTTCCCGCAGCCCCCATTGGCCTGGAGCGGCGAACCGCGGCCAGTGGGAGCCGCGATCGACCGAACCTGCGGACGCGGCAGGTAAACAAACTGGCCCAGTCTGCCAGGGGCTTTCCCTAAACAAACGGCGGACCGGCTCCGAGAACCAATGACTTATAGTACCATTATTAAAACACTGGTTATGTATAGCTGAGAATAAAAACAATAAAATGAACAAATGCAGATAAAAATAGAATAGTAAGAGAGAACTTACTGGACCTATATGGACTGAATTCAGATACAGATGAACTTAATACTCCATGTTCTGTGAAGCTCTGAACCATTGCTATGTAGGTATCAGTATAGTCTTCATACTCCTTTGTCAAGTTACAGGACAGGTGTGTGATATTTGAACAGTCTTTAGCAATTTTCCATCCCTTTTCCGATCTACTTTAAGTTGAAGAAAAAAAAAAAAATCAGTGTTGTTCAAAAGGATCTTCTGATTTGTGACTGTACCTCTGGAGAGTAACATGAAAACTCAGAGATGCACTGGATGAAGTGATCTCTGCTCTCACTTTAAACAGCGTCAAAAATAATCAAAACCACAGACTAGTAAAATCCAAATGGTTTATTTAAAGTGTACCTACATGGGGAGTGGAAGAGAGGGACATGTTTGACAAGGAAAATTGAAAAACAAAATCTCAAACCACAACAAACCAGAATGATTAAGGGATAAAAACAAAAATGATATACAAGAAGTGTAAGTCATAAGCTTTACACAGGATCTCCCACTCACCTTGGCAACATAAAATAAACTTCCTGAAGAGGGACCGCACTTGCTTCTCTTGTCCAAAGGCTACCCCAATCCACTTACTCTTGTAGGGTTAATCTCCTTTAGGGTCATATTGGCTCCTTTCCTGGTCCATATAGGTTATGTACATATATATACACACTAATTTCTTCTCAACAAAACCCTACCCAAATCCGAAACACCACCACAACAAAATCTGAAAATTAACGTAATGTTTGCAGCCTCTCACATTTTTCACTCTGCTTGTATGTCATACTCTGCTTCTCCTGAACCCTTCATCTTCTCTATGTAAAATGTTAACTCACTGGGGCAAGGACTCTCTTATTATGTGTTTTCACACTGCATTGCACAATAGGGCTCCAATCTGAGATGGGTCCGTACATGCTACTGTATTACAAATAATAAATAAAATGGGGGAGAATCCTCTTTACCTAAATGTGACCTGCAAAGGATTATTTAAAAAAATAGTTTAACCCTGAAAGTTGTTTGCATGTCTCAAGACAGCCTGAGACAGAACAGCATTTGACGTATAACATTGAGCACCCAAATGGGATCCCATTTCAGGTTCCTCCTCCCATGTCTCCAGTTCTGTGATGATGACACAGATCATATTGCTGTTATGACAAAAATATTAGGAAGGCACACTGCATTATGGAACATCAAAAGTAAACAGTATTTAAAACATGACATGGTATGTTCTTGAAAAGTTTAATTTATTTTATATTCTTAAGGTTATAAAATTGTTTTTTAAAAAAATGTGGATTTTTTTTTAAAAACCATTTAGGTAACCTCTTATTGGCAGTGTTTGTTGGTGTGCCAAATTTCCTGGTATCTGTGATGGCACAGAATGAGGCATTCTGGAGTGGGGTGGGAGAACAAGAACTGGACAGTGTTATACTGGGGAAAGGTAGAGTTTGGAGTGAAATCCAAAAAGGAAAACAAAAAAAGTTAGTTTAAAATGTGTATATTTTTATTTATAGTTATCTAACCCTTGTTCGGTGTTGTTATATGCCCTGTATCCCAGATTATGTGGGGCACTCAGCATATATGTTATCACCAGTTTGAAAAATATTTGCTTTAAAGCTCAGTTTGCTCTGCACACATGCACTATCAAATATAGTATGGCTCAGCACCAGTCAGCCTGCCAATCCATCACACTTCCAAAGGGCTTGTGGCCCAATCTCTCAGTTAGGGTACAGTACTTTGCACTGATGGAAGAATAAGAACAGAAAGTAACAGAAATCATCAACAAAAGCTGAAGTTATCATGTCTTTGATAAATACAGGTTTCTTCCATGTACAAATTTGCTCTAGGAATTAATGTGTACTTGTTTAAAATTGTTCAAATAGCTACTCATATCCTAAAACCTAATTCTTACCCTTGTATCTGATGAATGGCAGATTTCAGAAAATCTATTTGAAAAACAAAATAGTCAATCGAATATTTTGACTAGTAAGTAAGAAAAAGTACAAATTCATGTACAGTATGAATGGAAACAAACCTGACACCTATGTACATCACATGATAGTATGCTGGCATAGTTGTATTACTTCCTGGTTCCCATGATAAAATGTGCTGGAAATTCTGAGAGTTCATTGTTAACTTCTGAGGTGGATTTATCACAGATGCTTCTAGATTAAAAGAAAAAGTTGCTAAGATTAAGAAGTATTTGAAAAGGACAGCAAATGCAATACCATTATACATGGTAATTCTACTCACCAATTAGTTAAATATCAGCCCCCAAAAAGATAAGAAAACTACAAGACTGAAGATGAAGTCATTTTAAATTGCACATCCATTGCATTGGAGGCACAAATGCATGGGACTGTCCTGCTGGATATTATCCACATAGCTTTCTTACATGGAAATGCATAGTGAAGTCAAGGATGCCCGATGGAAGTACACACACATCTTTTGAGCTATTTCAGGGATTTTGCTTAAAATATAATGAAAATTCTTACCTGGCAAGCTGAACAAAGTAGCAGTCAAAATGCCGAGGTACACTGGAAATGAAAACATGTGAATATATATTTATTCATTAAAGAAATTGTACGTGTGTTCTACAATATTTGTCAATGATAAATTAGAGTTCTTATTCATTTACTACTCGTGATACTAATCTTGTTCTCCATCTCTCTCATCGTTTGCCTTTCAGATTATACCATTTTTTCTTGATGAAACTGCACTTGAATTATTTCCTTTCTGTATCAAATGCTTTTCTGTTACTGTCCTTAAGAAGGTGATCAGTGATAGCTCAGGTGTTTCTAAATAGCATATCATTGTGATATTTAAGCACTATATAATAATTAAAGACAGCCTGCAGTGGGGCGGCTGCCCCACTCCCTGAGAAAAAGGGCTATAACAGGCCAGGGAGGCTGTGCAGACCAGCAGCCAATCAGCAAGGGCCTGTGGAGAGCCAATCAGGGCAAAAGGAGAGGCAGCCAATCAGGGCCGGGCTGGGTCCTATATAAAGGCTGCCTAGCAGCAGTGAGGGTAGTCTCTTCCTGGCTAGCAAGGGAGGAGGATTGGCTCCTGAGGTGAAGGAGGTAGCACCTTGGACAGAGCAGTGCTGGGCAGGCTTGGGGGAGCAGAGAAGAGCTCCAGCCCAGTTACCTGCCAGGCTGTGGCCCCTGCTACAAAGGGTCAAGAAGGTGCATGGGGCCAAAAGGGAAGTGGCCCAGGGAAGATAGGTGGGCAGAGAGAGGTTGCTGCTAGAGGGTCCCTGGGTTGGGACTCAGAGTAGTGGGTGGGCCTGGGTCCCCCACTTCCCCTTCCCCTGCACCTGGCCACAGAGGAGCGTGGCCGAGACCGACTACAACTTGCCCCTGAAGTGAGGCGCTAGACTTTTGGGTTGTGGTTGGCTGCTGAGGCAGATGCTAGCTGAAGGACTGTTATCTTCTGGCTCCCCTCCCCGGAAGGGGGTGAGATTGGAGTAGTGGGCAGTGTCCTGAAGAGGATGCCACTGTGCAGAGTAGCACTGTGGGTCCCAAACCAGCAGAGCAGACAATGGGTGAGACACCATGCACAGACGGTGCCCTGCAGCTGGCAAGAGCTAATTCCCAGAGCAACCAGCAGGAGGTGCCAGCAGTGTTGAGTCCTGAACCCATCACACAGCCCCAGTAAATGGAAATTTTCACACAGCCTCCCTTGTCCCCAATATGTATGTGTGGGTGCTTTTTTTCTTTACTCTTCCCCTTCTTGCCATCTCCTTTCTCTCCTCCAATCTTCCAGAATGTGGGATGGCATTTTCCTGGCTCATTCAGATCCATGTACCTTGTCACTCAGGCTCACTTTGATCTCCCCTGCTAAGGTATTACTTAGCCACGTTCCTGCTGCTGAAAATACGCTGCTCCATAGACCCAACAGTCTTAGCTTGGGTCAGCCTAGTTGAAAAGTTCTTTTAGAGCACGGTCATGGGGGGTTGTGACTGGATAATTGGTTTTTGAGGTAGCTCAGACCCCAACCTATTAAGTACCTGGCAAGTTAGTGCCCAGGCCTTAAATTCAATCTGGAAAGGGATACAGAGTCAGTAGTACTTGAGGAATATTGGTGTGATATGTTCACATGTGCCTTGGTGGCTACATGTCAGGAGTGTGGATTTCTGAAATATTGTAGTTTGTTAGCAGTTGCAACATGTAATTCACTGCTTTCATTTACCTCAAGCCCTATCGCCTTCTTTCCAAACTAAAATCTCAGCTGTCTCTCTCTGGCATCTCCTTGTGAATGTTTAGTTGTTAGCAGAGCCCTGCACGGATACAAATTTACATCTGTGGATGCGGATAGCATGGATGTGGAACTGCAGGGCTCTCCCGGGAACTGCAGTGGTGAAAGGAGCAGAATGTGGGGCCTCCACTCCCAGGAACCAGTACCCACGCCGGCAACTCCTCCAGCATAGCTGTACCACTCGCAGCCCCGTTCCTAGCCCTGCCCCCATCTGCATCTCCTGTCTGGGGGTGTGCGCACTGCTTGAACACAAGAGCGTGACTAAGGACAACTGCCTGTGAGCCTAGTGCCCGCTCCAGTAGGAAGGGCTGGAGGGTAGTACAGCTACACTGGAGGAGCTGCCAGTATGGGGCGCTGGCTTCTGGGAGCAGTGACCCCACGTTCTGCTCCTTTTGCTGCTGCGGGTTCCAGGGAGAGCTGTCTGGTTCTGTGGATACAGATTTATCCCCAGGGGTATCCGCATCCATGGATCTAAATTTGTATGCGTGCAGGGCTCTAGCTGTTAGCTGAAGCTCAACATGGCTGAAATGGAGCTCTGAATCTTTCCACAAAAGCCATCCAGGCTCCCTCCTTTCTCGATCACTGTGGACAGCACCAGCATCTTGCCTGTCAGTCAGGCCTATTACCTGGGCATCTTCAATTCAGACCTCTCTAGGTCCCCATGTCCCAGCTATATCTAAATTTTGCAGATCCTTTCTGCAAAACATCTCTAAAATACAGTCTTTCCTTTCATCCACACAGCTAAAACCCTCATCTAGACTCATCATCTAGCGTCTCAACTGCTGCAACATCCTTTACTCTGGCTTTGACAAAACACAATCTTACCCCACTCATATCCACTCAGAATGCTGTGGCAAATATCATTCCACTAGCCCATTGCTTTGACCATGTTACCCCTCTCTTTGCATCCTGTTTCTGACTCCCTCTTCTTTATTGCATCAAATGTAAGTTGCCTGTCACTTTCAAAGACCTTCACGGACTATCCCCACCCTCCCTACCATCTCTCATTTACTATTCAGATGTCAACCCCCACCTCCAACTGGCCAATAATGCCAACCTCCATTGCCCACTTGTTAAATTTTCATACAAGCACCTTTGTACTTTCTTCCATCCTGACCCTCACACTTTGGGGATGTTTATGGGGAGCTCTTGCCAAGTTACCTCATTGTCCTTCAAATCTTTCCTTAAAACTCTCATTTACCATGATGCCTCCAAAAAATCAATGAGTAGGCCACTGTTGCACTGGTACCACTGCCTACCAAGCTGACCAACATTGGTTTTTTTTTTTTTTAAAATACTCCTGCCTGTTGGTATCCACCTATTATACTTCCTATCTTATACTTAATTTGTAAGATCTTTGGGGCTTGGACAACCTTTTTATTTTGTTTGTACAGCACCTAGCACAATGGGCTAAGGCTCCTAGGTGCTACAATAAATATAACAATTTTAAGCTTTTTAACAAAAGTCACAGCATAGAAGATTTTGAAAGGAGTCTTAAAATACATGAACACTGAATGGAGGACTGCAAATTAAGGCAAACCCACCTTAATTCAAAGTGGATTCAAGATTGTAGTGGGACATCATCCCAGGTTAAGAAGGAGGTTAATAAGCTTGGACACATTGGAAGGAGTTATCCAGCATTGATACAAGCTAGTAACATTTTTGTATTTATTGTCTGAATGTTCTATTAGGGAAAGTCATTCTTGTTTTAATTTAAAAGTTTCAGTCAATGAGCAGAGTGATATACAACTTAGCAGTGAAATAAACTACATGATCACAATGCAGACAAATGAGATACAAAATAAAGTGAAATGTCCCCAGAGGTCTAAATTTGCTGAAATAGCAAATTTCTTGCTACAATTGAAAAGACAAGCTTTTAACTCAATCATGCATGCTTATAATGCTAAATGTAATACAGTATAACATTTGATTGTACATGGGGAAAGACTTTCCAGTCTAATATTGGAACACTGATACAAGAATTATTTCCTGGAAATACCCCCAATTGCTCTTATTATAGTGTAAATGAAGTGTCCTAATTACTGAAATTAAACAATAAGATACCAATGTAGAATCCTCAAAACTGCAGACAAATTTAGAGACATTTCTGCGATGTTCCTCACTATTGTAACTAAATGCCTCTCACATAATTTTATCCTCCCAGTATCCTTGGGAACCAACTCTCACACAGATTAAGCAATTTGCTCAAAACCACGCAGTAAATCTGTGGTGGCACCCAACAGAAACCTTTTCTCTTGAGTTCCAGTCTGTGGAACCACAAGACATCCACAAGACATCCTTCCTGTCATAGCCCTTCCTCCTCCCTATGACTGCACAACAAAAATCTATTAGAACTGTCGTCAAAAAGAGCAGAAAAATCAAGAGAACTAGAACAATTTATTTCCTGCATTAGATTATCAACTATTTTAGAAAAGTTTGGTCAAGTGGGATGAATAGTAAAACATTGCTTTAAAAATAAATATATTCTATAACTTTTATAATATGTAGAGTAACGTAAGTTAAGATTTTAAGCTTTTGGGGGCAGGAACTCTCTCTCTCTTCCCATACATGTAGCAGCTAGTACCTTTTGAGTGCTTCCACTACACAAATAAGATATTACTTCTGCTTTG